TCGATGATAAAAAAGAGCGGATGCTTCGGCGTGCCCCAGTCCTTCGGCAGCACCGCGTCAAAGTACAGCATGAGAACGTTGTACAGGAAAAAATCCAGAGTCAGCATGAGTACTGTCACGAGCATTGTTGGACTGTCAAGATGGCTGTTGAACTGCGTCCTGAAGCCCCCGCCAAGTTCGTGCTGCACAAGTGCAATCATCAGAACGGAAAAGGCGGTTGGGGAGAAGAGGCAGAAAACTGTGGTAAGCCACCCGCTTCCATTTGTCACGGCAAACACTGGCACCGCCATGACCAAGTAGATAAGCGGTGACAGCAGCGAGGCCAGGCGAGCCTTGCTGAAGAATGTCGCGAGGAGCCCGGATAGCGGGATCGTGCTGATGGCGTAGTAGAAAAAGAGAAAGAATACAACGTACGGGTCACTGCGCGCCATATACATCAGACTCATGAGTCCAACCATTAGGAGACACACGATGGCATACTCCACCGTGTACACAACGTACCACGACATGTAAATGGGAGCGTTGCTGAGGCCCATGATAAGCATCGCCTCTCGGACCCGTGTTTCTTTCTCCAGGACAATCTTTTTGGTGAGCTGCGACACGGGGTACAGGAATGCCAGCACATACATGAACGGAAGCAGCGGACCCGTATTGGCGAGGATTGGCACGTGTATGAACTCCGGGAAGCCGAACGGGACGAAGAAGTGCGCCCTTGGCGCCGCCAGGCCTTGTCCATTGCCCGCAACAGAGCTCAGGTAGTACTCCGAGACTAACTGCTGAATGGACAGAAATCCAGATACCGCATACAACTCCGCACGCTCAGTTGCGTAACCGCCTGCGTAGCTGGGGTCTTGAACAAGGGAGAGTGGCGGCAGCGCCGTGCTGTTAAGATGAACCACAACATCAAAGTTGTCTTCCGTGAGGGACACAACCTCCACGATTGCCCAGTTGTCATTTGAAGAGCGCAGCACGTCATATGCATCTTCAAGTGTCTCGTACGTTCCTCCGCTCACATACTCGAAAAACAAAGAGCGAGCCTTAAAGTAGTCAACGAGTCCATCTAAGCCGGAACCAACGAAGTACAGGCGGCCGGTGGATCGGATCGCACTCAGCCGAGAGCTCACAAACAGCCCGGATGTTAATAGGTTTACAAACTGACTCTCCACTGGCACCTTGCGCGTCAGCCACTGGTACATGATCACGTCATCCAACTCGGGAATCCTCCACATACTTCGTCCAAAAGCATAAAGCCACAAGGAGGCAGGGCCAACCTCCCGGAAGTCCACAGCATAACAAAGACCCTTAACAGGCAATCCGCTCTCATCTCCCTCACAAGTGACGTCAAACCACGCTATTTCACACGACTGAACTCCACGAATAAAGTTCCCGCCGCTGGCGTTGTAGCACGTCACGAAACTATACAGTCCCGTCTCAGTGTTGTTCCCTGGGTTCGCGTAGTCGACATATTGTCTCTCTGGCACGTCCTCTATGCCCCACATCAACGAAAGCGCCGCTGTGATTATCACAAACAGAATAGGGATGAACATCTCGAGAAACAGCGCGCACTTCTTTCGGAGACTTTGGCGAACCACACGTTCTACAACGGCAAGGAACTGGCCCCAGAACGTGCCTTCTTGTACCGGCTCTTCACTCACGCCGCTATCCGTTGAAGGTAACACCGGATCGGTGGGGCTGTCAAAGTCGTCAACGTCCTCAAATGGGGGGGAGCTGCCGTCAGACGAAATGCAGTTGTCGTCGAAAAAAACGGATCTGTCATCGACTGAGGCGTCGCTGTCGTCAGGAAAACTGTAATACGACATGTCGCCCGTATCCTCGTGGCTGTACGTAATGGGGCTATACCGCCACACTCACCACCCCAGATTCATCGAAACCAGAGGGGTCGCAAAAAGAAAGAAAAAGAGGAGCACTGGCAGCAAGAATGGAATGTCAGCAGTGGGACGGCGAAAGTGCACATAACCCCTTACTCAGCGAAAGGCGTCAAAAAGAAGCGCGCAGGAGGAATCTCCGCAAGGAGCCATGCGCAGTAGTGAGCGAAATACGATTGGAAAAAAAAACCCGTTGGAGCACACTGCACGAGGAACAGGGAGGAGGAATACACGTACGTTTCCCCAAGCAGAGTAATCCACAAAACTAGGACTTGCTCTCCGCAAGACAAAAAAAATTTACGCAAAGCACGCACACACACAAGCAACACATACTACTGGTTTTTAATTCATTCGAGACCCATACGACAAATAGTCTTACACATGCTGAAGGAGAGGAGAGGCTGAGAAAATACAAAAGAGAGGAAACAAAAGAAAATATTCACACCGTCAAATCGCCAAATACAGCTCCTTCCTATGCCGCTTTCATTAAACGGAAACCCCCTCGACAAATCCGTCCCACAAAACAAGGCCCGCCGCTCACAACATATCTCATCGCACACACCAGCCACGGGGAGCTCACACCTCCTCCCCACTCACACGGAGAAATACCTGCTCGATCGACGTCTGCGACACGCTGTAGTCCGTAATGCCAAGAGCCTCCTTGTTCATCTGGAGAATGCGGAACACGTTACTTAACGCGGTATCACGTGGCAGCGCGTACACAAACCGCTGCCCCCTAAATTCGTTGAGTGTAGCCCCGGGGAACACATCGTTCACAAATCGCTCAATTACCTCACCCGCTTCAGCCCTAGCAATGCGTATATGCATCTCGTACCCACTGCCGTANCCTCCTCCCCACTCACACGGAGAAATACCTGCTCGATCGACGTCTGCGACACGCTGTAGTCCGTAATGCCAAGAGCCTCCTTGTTCATCTGGAGAATGCGGAACACGTTACTTAACGCGGTATCACGTGGCAGCGCGTACACAAACCGCTGCCCCCTAAATTCGTTGAGTGTAGCCCCGGGGAACACATCGTTCACAAATTGACTCAAAGCGCAACCTGCCGCATCGTCCAGGACGCGAATGCTCATTTCAGCCCCACTGCCGTACTTGTTCTTTAGGTGTGTCTTGTCTCCAATGCACCGCAGCGAACCATCCACCATGATCGCAACGCGATGCGCCAGCGCCTCCACCTCCTCCAGGTGGTGCGTCGTCAGCACAACAGAACAGTATGATGCTGCCTTCTGGATCGTAGTCCACAGCCCGCGGCGCGCAACAGGGTCCATGCCAGCCGACGGCTCGTCAAGAAGCACCACGCGCGGGCCACCGACCAGCGATATCGCCGCACTCAGCTTGCGCCGGTTGCCACCGCTTAGCTCGTGCGCAAGCGTCTTCCGGTACTTGGCGACGTCGCACAGTTGAAGCAGTGCCTCAACAACGCTTTCATGCATGTCCTCCACAAT